GTTACTTCTAAGATCAAAACCTTATAATATGTCAATAAAAAAATCAAACTTTTTAAAATAAAGACTCCAGCTTCTTTACAAATAGTTATTTACTGAAATACATTATGAATGAAAACAGGCCGATAATTCTGATTTTTCAAAAAACTTTATGTCTTAATTAATTCAATTTCAAATTTAATACCCAAATCCCCCCTCTCTTTTGCTATATCACAATCAGAACATAGCATGATACATCAAAGTTGGAAAAAAAATCTTTCATTGCACTACTTGTGTAGCTGAATGACTCTTAAATATAAAGAAAAGTAACATTATACTCTTTCAGAAACAGTGATTTATGTGTGTTGTAGAATTGAAAATCTCCCTACCAAAAAGATTTTCTAAGTTTGCTACTTAGAATTTCTTCCCTCAAATGCAGTTATATATCAATGTAAGAATTGTGATATGTTTTGGTATATATGTTCTATTTATACTATAAGAAATGATTTAAAAAGTTATCTCCCTTATAAAGCATTTTTTTTATAACTGATTGATACTACATGTAACTGTTTTAAAAGAGGGGGGGGGGGGGACTATTGATAGATATGCACTGAAATTGATCACTCCCTTATTTTATTTACTAGAAAAATGTATGTATACATATTAAAAAAAAAAAGGAAAATACAAATTTTCATGAAAAAGTTATGGAATAGATGAATGATAAAAGGTAATTCAGAAATCAGAAAACAACTTTCTTCATACACTTCACAAATTCTATTCTTGGTTGTCTTAAACAGTGAACCAAACAAACTTTTGAGATTCAAACATATCATTCCTCTAGTATTGAATAATACTGCAACCAAATACCTTTTTTTTTTTTTAAAAGCATTAATACTTAGATAACTCCAGTCAGATTCGCAGATGTTTACAAATAAGTGACAAAACTCATACTTATCGACAATTAAATCTGTAAAAACCAATGTTTTCCTCGTAATATTTTTTAATATTTTATATAGTTATGTGTTCATCAAAGTTGAATTACGTTTAAAAAAAATTTTGTTTATTTAATATTGATGATGTCTTAAAATTAACAGTTTCTTAGCATCAGAACAGTCTGCTACATGAAAGTTAGCTTATAAAGGTATACTTTTTATTACCTAATATTTCTAAATAAGTGACAATAAAAAGAATATCAAAGTTTCAAAATGTCGCACACTTTTGAGACAAAGGTCCCCCTTATAATACAGAAATACAGACTGTATGCTCATTTGTTCAATTTCATGCACTCCTTTCTAAAGCATTTGATGATGAATTGATATGTATGACAAGAATTACTTGTCTTACTAGAAAATAAAGGTCATCATGCATGCTATTTATGTATCAATCAAGGACCTTATGCAAACCGCACACAGGAATAATGGCAAACTATTGCAGTCATCTAGACAGGACTATAAAAATACATATTGTAAGCTTAAAATTTTATAAAATGGGTGCATTCAATATGTGCTTATGCAATATTAAGAAACCATTTAAATTTTTATGAAACAATTAAATCTTAATTAAATAACTTTAAATCTATTAAAAATTGCATTTTTGTATATTTGAACCTTTTATGTGAAGTAACAAATCTAGAGATACACTGTACTAGGTAATTACTTTGGTGAATGGCATTGTGGAAGACAATAATTGAAAAAGCTACTGTCAGTATTTAAATGATTCTGATGTTTATAATGAGTTTGCACAGATTTATAAATGTATCATTGATTAAGACATTTGTCTAGTGTGTCTAGTAAAACAGTGTGTTGGGATTAGAAAGCCTGCATTCTACTTCAATAATCAAGTATATGGGAAAATAAAGGCTTATCAAAAAGAGCATTTGTCTGAGGGGATTATTATTTTTGGAGTTCAGCACGATTTTCTTTTATTTCTTAAGAAATACCTTCAAAGTCCATGATCAGGAAAGACCACAACTGGGAGGATAATATAATAAGAAAAAGATGGCCTACCTGTGAACTGCAGAGACATAGTTTTTACTTACGAATCCCAAGGGAAGGTAAGAAGAATGTTGGAATTTTCCAGCGAGGCCTCATATAACTTCAATGTCTCCTCATTAAACTCTCCAAATTATCTTCCAAAACTTCAAAAAGATCCTCCTCTAAAAACTTAAACAAGTAATAGTTTTGATAAACTACTTTTAACTGTGTATTTGTGTTTTTAAGTTTTGTTTCTTCTAAAACACAAAAGTAGATCAATTATATCTAATGACCATTTAAGTGATCGATGCCCCCTCCCTGAGTTGTTTTTGTCAGACAATTATAGAGGTGATTATATGATTAAAGAGACATCAATAATTCAATTAATTGGAGCATCAAATGCCCAGCATGTGGCAGAGATGATTAAAATTTCACACTTTCTGGACTACAGCAAGGTTACCCACTATCTACCCGACTGTTCATAATTAACCTTGTTAAAAGATCAAAGGTACAACAGATGGAAAGTTTACACAAGGAAGTGTGTAGAAATGAGAATCTAGTGTTTGTTTAGAGCAACATATGTTTACACAGGGTTAAAATAATTTATGCAGAAATTACTCTAAGTAATTTTTTTTATACAATTATGTAAATAATTCAAATTGTTTACTATTTTAAAAAGTAAGGAAATGAACTATGTTTTTAGTTTTAGAGTATAAATAAAATTATTAGTAATTTTTCTCCTAAGATGTATTTTACTTTCAATATTTTAAGCCATTTTTAGTATGAAATATATTTGAATGTGTACATGGATTAAGGTGAGATTTTCCATTCATAGATTAAGATATTTGCCAAAATTATTTGTAGCAATTACACATACAAGATAATTATGATACAAATCAAAACGACAATAAACTTAACACTGGTTAATCACAATATTATTAGAAGCTTGTACCCACAGCTTCCTTTACTTTGAAGTTCATTTCTTGAGGGTGTGAAAAAACACATAAATCACAAAACAAAATACCAGTAATTATACATTCACAGGTTATAATTTAAAACACTTTGATCTCTCTGTATGCAGATTTTATCTTCTAACAAGTCAATAATGTTTTGGAATTATATTATGTAACATATTTCTTATTGAACACTTGAATAATATGAAACATAATGAAATCAGTATTTCTTGAGTACCCGCATTTCTTCCTGATTGCTGTAATAATCAATGCTGAGAGAATCAGGTTAATTTTGTCTATTTAGATAACCAACCAGTTAACCATCCTCAGGTTGCCTAGGGTTTTCAGTCCAGGATGATCCATCTCATCAATCATTTTCATTTATCGATCTTAATTTCATGTATCATTAGAAGATGAAGTGTTGAAATACAATATTCAGAACGTCCAGAAAGATTACCATTTGATTGCCATAAAATAACATAACTAAGAATTATTAAATTATGATCATGTCTGACATAGCTAAGAGAAATTGATAACAATTATAGGAATCGTAAATACCGGTTTTCTCAACGTGAAACTTGACACGAAACTGTAAATTTTGGTATGATTTTTTGGTTTAAAGTTATATGACGAATATTTTTAAAAAAAATCTGGTGTTTACGGCGTTTGAAAAAAGATTACAATCGCTGCATGGGGGGATGGTTTCGGATTATTTCGGGCCCATAATACCGTTTTTGAAAGAGGAGGGGGGGGGGGTGCAGCTAGAGAAAATATTTCACAACTTACCTGAAAAATCCTTGTCAAGGGAAAAAAAACGTATACTGCAACAAAAATTCCAAAGAGACGTCTGTCAAAAAAAATTAATCTCGACGAATCTCGCTGAGATTATACATGCCTGTTTTTGAAATTATTATAATTATTTAAAGTATATAAAATATCTGATCAGTGTACTACCAATCATTTCCCAACTCTGATTGAAAACACCAATATTCATAATCTTCTTGTAAAAAATAATAATTAAAAAAGTTAATTGAGAAATGAAGACAAAATATGATGTTGTTTCGCAGTATACAGATACCCGTTTCAGAGCGAGATCAAAATATTGATGTTGGATAGAAACTTAATTTCAAGGGAGGAGGGGGGGGGGATAAAACATAAAGGGCCCAAAAAGGTTAAATGTTTCTGGACATCCATAATCATTAAAATGCATTCTGTGCATTATTAAATGTACGCCACTGTAAGATTCATTTTTTGAAAAGCACACTGTGTGTAAAATATTTTAAAAAAAATATTTACTTGCATAATACATCCACATAGGTCAAGCAACTACATACAGAAATTACATATATATGACATACAGTTATAGATACACATTTTAAAATTCTTTGTAGTACAATGTTAAAACTTTTGACTGACATGGACCTCGCTTTTCGCAATTCTAATGGATACATACAGGTGGCTTAAAATATCGGTTTAACCACAGGTGCTTGCGGACGGGACCCCCCCCCCCGGCAGTGTTCCGTACCCCAAGGGTTCTTTGACTTTTTTTTTTTAAATAAAATATTTTTCTTTGATACATTCACAAAGTATTACAACTGAAAAATCCAAAATATAACCTAAAACTAGACTTTTATAAAAAAAAAAATCGTCAAGCTATCAGACATTGAACTTTTAATCTTGCTCCATTTCCATTACATGTAGGGTACCGCACATAACCCACAGGAAAAAAAATCAGACAACTTCGGAGAACCCTTTGTTTTAGTAACTGCACAGAGTGGGTCTTAACCTAATCAATCATTTCACTCCGGATATCAAAATGATGCACTTCCCCAGTTCTAACTTTACTCAGCTCTTCGTCCAAGTTTATTAAACGTTTTAAAGTACGAAATATCCCAAGAGAAAGCAGAAAATGTCACCTACATTGACAAACTTTTCGGCAAAACATGTGAAATATGAGGTATATTTACTTATAGAAACAGGCTATGAGACCATGGTCTCATCTAACTCAAAACGAGGCTATTGCTCACCGGAATGGGTTCTCTCATCTATTTTCCCCTAATCATATCCGGTTATAATGTAAGCCTAGCGTTTCCTTGCAAAATTATGAAATTATTTTACTTGTATCAAGCCTTAAATTTAGACCTTAAATATAGACTTTAGTTCTGTCTTTAGGGCCATGGAGCAGTGAGAGTTCTGAAGCATTGTAAACAGATTTTAAAATGGAGAAGGCAGGTATGATAAAAATTGACTAAAAAATATATAACCATATTTCCAGGGACCTACTAGTATATAGGTCCCTGATATTAATTATTTCATTATTAAAAAGAAAATGTCCAGTTTACGATGAGGAAAATATGACAACACACTTTGACACCTATGAACAGACAAACACACATGGTCTTGATTGTGTTTACAACACTGTAGTAAGAGACCATTGACATAAAACAGTCTTAAACGTGGATGGTCTCATGTTTACAAACTGTAGCATGAGACCATTGACATATAACAGTCACAAACATGCATGGTCTCATGTTTACAAACTGTAGCATGAGACCATTGACATAAAACACTCTTAAACATGGATGGTCTCATGTTTACAAACTGTAGCATGAGACCATTGACATATAACAGTCACAAACATGCATGGTCTCAAGTTTACAAACTGTAGCATGAGACCATAGACTTAAAACAGTCACAAATACACATGGTCTCATGTTTACTATACTGTAGCATGAGACCACACATAACGGTCACAAACACACATGGTCTCATGTTTACAATACTGTAGCATGAGACCATTGACATATAACAGTCACAAACAAACATGGTCTCATGTTTACAAACTGTAGCATGAGACCATAGACATATAACAATCACAAACACACATGGTCTCATGTTTACAAACTGTAGCATGAGACCATTGACATATAACAGTCACAAACACACATGGTCTCATATTTATAATACTGTAGCATGAGACCATTGACATATAACAGTCACAAACACACATGGTCTCATGTATACAAACTGTAGCATGAGACCATTGACACATAACAGTCATAAACACACATGGTGTCATGTTTACAAACAGTAGCATGAGACCATAGACATAAAACAGTCATAAACACACATGGTCTCATGTTTACAATACTGTAGCATGAGACCATAGACATATACATGGTCTAATGTTTACAATACTGTAGCATGAGACCATTGACATAAAACAATCTTAAACATGCATGGTCTCATGTTTACAAACTGTAGCATGAGACCATTGACACATAACAGTCATAAACACACATGGTGTCATGTTTACAAACAGTAGCATGAGACCATAGACATATAACAGTCATAAACACACATGGTCTCATGTTTACAATACTGTAGCATGAGACCATTGACATATAACAGTCACAAACACACATGGTCTCATATTTATAATACTGTAGCATGAGACCATTGACATATAACAGTCACAAACACACATGGTCTCATGTATACAAACTGTAGCATGAGACCATTGACATATAACAGTCACAAACACACATGGTCTCATGTATACAAACTGTAGCATGAGACCATTGACACATAACAGTCATAAACACACATGGTGTCATGTTTACAAACAGTAGCATGAGACCATAGACATAAAACAGTCATAAACACACATGGTCTCATGTTTACAATACTGTAGCATGAGACCATAGACATATACATGGTCTAATGTTTACAATACTGTAGCATGAGACCATTGACATAAAACAATCTTAAACATGCATGGTCTCATGTTTACAAACTGTAGCATGAGACCATTGACACATAACAGTCATAAACACACATGGTGTCATGTTTACAAACAGTAGCATGAGACCATAGACATATAACAGTCATAAACACACATGGTCTCATGTTTACAATACTGTAGCATGAGACCATTGACATATAACAGTCACAAACACACATGGTCTCATATTTATAATACTGTAGCATGAGACCATTGACATATAACAGTCACAAACACACATGGTCTCATGTATACAAACTGTAGCATGAGACCATTGACACATAACAGTCACAAACACACATGGTCTCATATTTATAATACTGTAGCATGAGACCATAGACATATAACAATCACAAACACACATGGTCTCATGTTTACAAATTGTAGCATGAGACCATTGACATATAACAGTCACAAACACACATGGTCTCATATTTATAATACTGTAGCATGAGACCATAGACATATAACAGTCATAAACACACATGGTCTCATGTTTACAATACTGTAGCATGAGACCATAGACATATAACAGTCACAAACACACATGGTCTCATGTTTACAAACTGTAGCATTAGACCATAGACATATAACAGTCACAAACATGCATGGTCTCATGTATACAAACTGTAGCATGAGACCATAGACATAAAACAGTCTTAAACATGGATGGTCTCATGTTTACAAACTGTAGCATGAGACCATAGACATAAAACAGTCATAAACACACATGGTCTCATGTTTACAAACTGTAGCATGAGACCATAGATATAAAACACTCTTAAACATGCATGATCTCATGTTTACAATACTGTAGCATGAGACCATTGACATAAAACAATCTTAAACATGCATGGTCTCATGTTTACAAACTGTAGCATGAGACCATAGACATAAAACAGTCATAAACACACATGGTCTCATGTTTACAAACTGTAGCATGAGACCATAGATATAAAACACTCTTAAACATGCATGATCTCATGTTTACAATACTGTAGCATGAGACCATTGACATATTACAGCAACAAACACACATGGTCCCATGTTAGTGGTTAAAGTATAATCCTCATTAATTAAATATCACAGGTCGTAGATTAGCAAATACCATATAGCAGGATTTTTTAGCGGTGTGCTAACTTTGGCTTATTTTAGCAGATTTGTAGTAGCTCGCTAAAATTTGAATTGCTAAATTTGCACCCTTGCTTATAACTACTGAACACAAGAAAAATAACTTTGATCAGCCTGTTGGTAAACGTTATATATATCATTTGGTATTGGTTTTTTCTCCAACTCTTGCTTAAAAAGGTAATCAAACGTTTATTTAACGTACTGAAATTCATCTAAAATGTGAATTTCCTCTCTTTTGCAGAGTCATTGAACTATGTGTCCGCCAAAATTATTGGCATACCTTTTAGAGAGCAAAATGCCAAATTTTACACCCGCTATATGGTATTTTGCAGGCTTTGCTTACACAGTTGATAAGGGAATTTTAAAGTGTTTTTTTTTCAAGGGAAATGAAGGAACAACGTGTAAGTTGATAATTGTTTCTAGGGAGCTTTTAAATAATTTTACATGCAGTTCAGTGATCAGTGATCAAAAGCAGTAAAGGGGTACAATTAGAGCCCATAGGAATTCCAATAAGTTGTTGAAAGATTTTTGTCTCTAAAGACTTCATAGATATCATCAAAAAGAAACTTGGACATCCTCTTAATATCAAGCTCAGAGAACATTTTCCAAATATTGCATAACCATTTGAATGGAATTACTCTAAAAATTTTGTAGCTGTCATGAATGTCAATTAGACATTTTTCAGTCAGTTAAATTTTAAAGTAAAGATACATGTAGCATCCATTAACCTTTGCATTATGTTAGATAAACATGATAATTGTTTAAGTAATAAGACATTCAAAAAATAGGTAAATGCAAGAAATATTCAGTGTTAATTAATTGAAATGTTTTTATTTTTTTCTTTAGAAAATTCCTTGAAGTTAGCATTGCCAGTCTTGCGCTCTCACAGAACAACTGGTCTGTAAACAATGTACCCATGTTAAACAGCCAGACAACAGTTCCTGAAGGGCCACACTCTCTTCCAAGGTGAGATACTAAGAAATAATGAGAATTAAAACTTAAGTGAAAGCCATATTACATAGTGTAGATTAAAGTTTGTTTTAAATGTAGTAATGCATAAGAAAATTCTTTAAAAATCTTTTTCTCTAGTGGACTTTTGCAAAAAGCACTGACTTTTACAATCAACAGATTACTTTTACAGCAGGAAAATATACGGAAGCTCTCTTGTAATATAAATATTTAGCTTAACAGTTAATAAAACGATAATAACGGGCCATTTCAAAGCCCGTATTACATTGTCTAGGAAGGGAGGAGCAACAATCCTACCCTGAACCCCCTCCCTTCCCAACTAGATCAACTCCTGCCAAGTTTTCCCTCCAGAATGTTTTTTCTTATTTATTTAATTCCTTTAGAAAATGAAAATAAAAAGGAGATACTATCTCTCATGAACAAGGTATTTTAAGTCATTTTATTCTACCTCCAATCATCTCTTGTATTGGTAATTGTTGACTCAGGTTAGTGTTGTGGCCCATATGCTTCTTGTTGTACATGCATTTAAAATCTATTTATCAACAGTCAACCAGCGAATTTATATTTTTGTGCTTTGATGTCCACAATTCATTTCGTGATAGGTACTCACATAAAATAAGGGATTTACAGTATACTTATAATGAAAATGTTATGGTAAATAGCATCTTAGTCAGTCCTTAAGACTGTTTTTTCCATGATGGAGAAAAATTAAAACTTTCATTAACAATAAAACAGCAATACTATATATAGAAATTCATTTTCAATTCAACCCATTCACACAATTTATTATAAAAGTTTGCAGAGAGGATTTTGCATGGAAGAGATCTTTTGTTGGAAAGCAACTATGCAGTTTATGCTACCTTTAGGCTGAAAGTCCAGTTGTGGCATCTATTACAAAAAATCAAGGTAAGTATACATTCTAAATTTTTAGGACCATGTATGACACATCCTTATCAAACATACTATTTAAAAAAAGGTGAGATCTTTATTTAGGAAATTTCAATTCAAACAGGTATCTTTGCTGGAAGAAAGTTTAATCACCCACCTGGAAGTATATATTTATTTGTAAATGATAAGTAAAACAATTTTAAAACCAATTTATCGACAACAGTCATTTTACTTGAAAAGAACACTATCTTTAAGTTTACATCATTTTCATGGACAAATCAAGAAAAATTCTACCTAATGTTAGAATTGCCCTAAAGGCAATGTCACCTTAAGTCTTCTGTTTTAATCTACTTTAGGGCCTCTTTGCTTGTTCTTGCCTAATATATGTAAAAAAAAGTATTTATATTTTTCTATTAACTTTATTTACTCAGATCTTGCATCTTTAATTGGACTGCCACATATGTCAAGAGTCCCAACATCCCAGAGAGTACCTGGTATATATACATGTATTATACATATTTTCTTTTCTACAATAATTCTTCAAAAAACAACCAAAAAAAATATAACATTAAATCTTTCAATCTTTATTGAAATAACTAAAAGCAATTTGTAGCCTCCTAAAAGTATCAATATTGTATGTTTATTCCATTTTATTTCGATCATATCCCACTGTCATGTTTTGGGGCTTTGTATACCTGTAAATGGATACATTTGTATGTATATATTTATTGTGTTTTTATTTCAGATGGGTTATAAAGGATGTGATGTGTTTTGATACCACTTCCTCTGTTAAAAGACACAAATGAACATTTCCTGATGTTTTGAGGAATTTTCAACAAGGAGGTGGTCTTGTTTATATGTCTTACAGATTATCCTATGTCTTTAAATGGAAATTATGCATGTTAACTGTTCATATGTGTTTGTACTCAATTACATGGTTTTGTCCAGACATTTTACTGTAAAATCATATTTTTCGTAGTTTAAGGAAAACATGTTGGATTGTTAGCATTTGATTTCTTAATTAAATTAGTGCTGAGTAGTTATAATTAGAAGTTTTTCTTTTCATGGATGACATGAATTTGTGGTTCTCTCCATACCTTGAACAATGATAATTAAGCCCCAGTGAAAATTAGTTATTTCAAAACATGAGACTTAAACTAATGGATTTCTCTGAAAATTTTTACACTTTTATTGACCATATCAAGATGTGCATTATATAATAGCATATTGATTGTACAATTTTGGTTTCATTTTACAGGTGTTTTTTTTTTTTCAACTTTATAGACATTTTTTGGTCATAGTCCACAATATATTTTAAAAACTGCGGAATATATATTGAATTCACAACTATGTAAACATTGTGCTTTCTCTGAAGGTTTGCATCTGACATTTTAAAATAAATTTCTTGAAGTTAAAGGAAGATATAAAGAATGTTAATATCAGAGGAAGGACTTATTTTGTCATTGTGACTGGGGTCTTATAGACAGACAACATGAAGACATTTGCAGGTTCAATAGGTTGTTTAATTTCCCAGCTGTAATTTGTAATAAATATAGAACATGGATAAATTGGGAAAATGATCACCCAGTAAATATTCATATAAATAAAATTAGTACAGTATAATAAAAATGGGATGACAATTCTTGAAGCGTACAATATACTTGTATAAAAATCACAATACATTCTATGCATATTATGAAAGAGTTATTCCCCTTTTCACAGTGATCATTTATACTTGTATGATTATATATTCTCTTGAAACATATATTGAATTGTTTTACATTATTTAATTGTAAGTCCAATTATTAATTTATATATATATATATATATATATATATATATATATATATATATATATATATATATATATATATATATGATAAGTTCATTTTTTCAAAATATAAAATGTGCCTGTTTATGGAACAGAGTTCCTGGCACTTAATCATTTTATATAGTGTAATAAAACAAAAACATTAACTTTCAACTCTTGCACACATGTTTTCATTGTTTATTTCACTTCAGATAAATCAGACTTCTGAAATATATTTGGTGAATATGAAGTAAATAAGATGCTTTTAGATTAGAAGCTGGTATCCAGTTCACAGTGAAAGTTGTAATTTATATTTAATAATCATATCTTCACAGCCTGAAATCAAGCTGAATAATGTCAGATGCAAGAAAATGATGAATATTTTCATTTCTTTGACAAGAGAAATTCTTTTTTTTTCCTGTGGAGGTATTAGTCTCATGAGTTGAATACCCATAAGGGTATAATGCTATGAACAAAGAATGAAACTTTATGTAATTTTGTATCATATTATGCATAATATAAATGCTAAAATTATGTTACTTCTTATTTCTATCAATACAGTGTGTGCTATGTCATATGAGATATGTCAGTCTTTGAACTAACTAGAAAAATATACTGTATATGTAAATGATAATTATTTTCATATATATTGGTTAAATATGATATGTTGAACATCTATGAAATCATATACATTTGTATATTAAATACTGTGTTTTAACATGTTATTTTTTATAGTGCTTTTTCACGTAATATGGTGTACTGATGTAAATACTGATGGACCAAATCTCAGGAACATGCTTCATATATGTATGGTGTCTATTTTTATATTCTTGTAATCGGATATCTTTTCACATTCTGGAAACTTTTTAAGGAAGCTCTAAACACTAACAAAAAGTTCTTTTTGGACTTGGAGAAAATTATGTCATATAAAGGTGTGCATATTGAGACTGATTAGTTCATTTTCAACATAGGGTATCTGCCTTATTTCCGCAGGAAAAATGTTCAAAGAAAATGGACTATTTTTGAACACAAATCACTGTTGTTTACTGTTGGGAAAATTAATGTAAATAATGAATTCAATTACTTATTCTTGGTCTAGTATATGCTAAGAATATTTTAATCTATTACAAATTGTGTAATTAACTGTAAACAACTATTTTATTTATCTTACTTCTAAGGGCAGATCACTCTAACTGCATAAAACTACCCTTCTAGTAGAACTCTCTTGTGTGCAGTGTTTAGAGCTTCCTTAAAAGAGATGGACAATTGTGTATCAGGCATAGTAGATGCAGTTTGATTATTTAAACAATAAAATGCTTTCTTTGGTTGGTACGGGAATTAATGTTGCAGCTGTTGCAGAAAAAATGCATAACCCGCATAATCGGGTTATGTATTTTTTTCTGCAATAGCTGCAATGTTAATTCCCGTACCAACCAAAGAAAGCATTTTATTGTTTATATTTATATCTATACAAATAATCATTTAAAGTAGGATTTAGTAGATGAAATATTGTATTATTGATATATATATCATTGTATGTTGATGGAACAGCCACTGCTCAAGAAATCTGTAGAGGTGATATGCTAAGCGGTGTTTACTGACTGATAAAAGGCAATGGTTTTCTTAATATATCACTATTTACTGATATCACTATATATATACTTATTTTTTATGAATGATTTCAGAGTCTCTGTATTTGACAGTTCAAAATATTTGTATTAAAATCAAAAAACATTTTTTTTCTTTTACAAAAATTTAAATGTTATACACATGTACTTTAAAGCACTTGTCATGAACTGGAAAATTAATGATTTATTGCAACAGAAATGATATTAAAAAAAGTCTTAATATATAAAATAAATTAATGAAAAGAAATTCTCCTTGTTTTATTCCAGCAATGTGTTCCTGAATTGTACTTAGAAATTTTGTCATGAACATAAATGGTACCCATGATATTCCATTCCCCATTGAAATATAGCCCCTTTATATAGTGCTTAGATTTTGTTGTTCAGGGATTAAAGTTTATTAAAGAGTTCACCTTTGACCTTTATTTAAGTAACCTTGACCTTCTGAGTTATTCCAGGTCATGGGAGATGCCATCACAAAGATTAATATGTGTGATGGGGTTTGAAAAAATAAACAGGAAATTTCAATAAAATGCAACAACTACATTAACCTTTTTTGGATATAACCAACGAAAATCTTAAATACATTAATTTCAAAGAATTGAAAATTTGTATAGTATATTGAAGATCTTACTAATTTCATTATTGCACTCAATAACTGAACGGATGCAAGCATCAAATTAATTATTTCTCTCGATTATTCAAGCATACACCGAACCATAATATTGGTTTTTACAACCATATTGCCAAAAAATTAATGTAGCTACTTATAAGGGATGTAATACCAATATTTTCGTACACACTTTTTCTGTATTGTTACGTTTTTCGAAATTTAAGGCAATCTCGGAGAGCAAAATGTTTTTTTTTTCCTTGTTCTTTAAAATTTATTTTATACAGATTAATATATCTTCATCAAGGAAAACAAAATTAACAATATCAAAGTACATGTACGTGTATTCTATAAATTTTTAACGATTGACAATTAAAAACATCAGTATATTTGTCAATTTCATCTTTTTTTCCTTGGTCATTTAGTTCAGTTATCTACTGTTCTGTTGAATCAGACAAAATTACAAATGCTCAGAATAAGTACATGTTCATGTATACCTTTGGTAGAATGATTATACCCGCATAAGGAACTATTGAACATATTGTTCAATAGTTCCTAATGAACCATTGTTCATACGCAATATAGTATAAGTGGTTCTAATAGCCAAATATACTCCATGAAATGATATTTTATTACAGAAAGCTTTTAACTGGAACTGGAACCATTTCAACACTGAAGTGATAATATACTGGGACTTGGAATTGGAACACGTTAACCCCCCACCCCACCCCACCTCCCCCGAAAATAGATTCTTATAAATTTTCTACAATAGGAGGGTTGCGTGTTACTCACTATATATGAATTTATTTAGGTAAAGATGGGAAAAAAATCACAGGTGAAGCCCTGAGCCATTTAGAAAATGTTTACCATAAATAGAGAAACTCTGCTGATATGTGATTCAAAATTAATATAAAATCAAATAAATGAAAATATCTTTAATTTTGAAGAAATCAATTCATATGACGAGCGCAATAGGTCAATTGAAGATCTTTTTAAAGTCTAGTATTTTGGCATTTTGTTTGTTTTTTCTTTTCTTTTCTTTTCTTTTCAGAAATGTGCGATATAATTTCTAAAATGCCCCAAAATAATTAAATTAGTTTCAAAATACAATGAAGCTATTCACATGCTAGAAGAAATTAGCAACGATAATAATGATATCTGAAAATATCTTGCATACTATGACATTCAAGGTCTAGTAGCTATATGGCTTTTCCAGTGACAATTCACCAGTTACTAATGTCATTATTATTCTTTATTTCCTTACTACATAGTGTTATCACAATTATAGATTTTCAAAAAGAGAAAATGGTTTGGTATTACATATCTTACATATACATGAAAAATTAACACAAATATAATAAACAGATAGGACAGCAAGGACACACCTCTTGGTTTCTTAACTTAAATAAAAGCTAAACCCCCACCCCCCTTACAAATTTAAGTACAGTTTTGGACAATTAATAGGTGTACAAATTTATTTTTTTATAATACTTTTTAAGATATTAACTGTCAAGGCTCTGTATGGGCGGCTTATCAAACAAATTGTAATTCACCCTATAGATTTTTTTTTTTACAATACGTCCACTTTCAATGCAAGATTATACGTGAAGACATTCTTATCTTAATTTGATACATACGTAAAAGAGAAGATACATGTTTTGATTTTGTCAATTTCTGTACTATGTGTCTGTGTTTTCTTAAAGCTTCTGCTTGTTATTTTTCAAATAAAATATGATTTAAACAAATCTATTTGTAAAAAATACATTTTGCTGAACAGTTAATTTCAGCCGAAAGATTTTGCAATTGTACTATTTTGTCTTTTCAAGCCAAATAAATCCAAGTCCGTGTTCAAAAAAAGGTTTTCTTTGATATTTACAACAATTATAGCGCTTACTAGAATATTATTGATACCAGCTAATGGCTTTCTTAGCCGGCTTTTATCGGAACGTCGAATTTTCAAAATAACAAATTTTATGACCAGAATGTTTTTAGACCAGCTAAAAAAAAAATTAATTTATATAAACAAAATTTGTGATATTTGCATTAATACACATGTCCATGAGTTGAATATGGAAAATTAACTTGAATAAAAAGAGTGCTTAACAATAAAGATATTCAATGTCTAATCCACGTTGCAATTCTACAAAATTGTTTAAATAGTTTGTCAAATTACTTGTAATTAAAATTTAATATTAGGCATCAACAACATACATGATGAGCATAATTATATGAGAAATTTTCATGATTTTGTCCATTTTCTATAAAGTAATATACCAGGGAAGAGGGACGCTGTAACGACTTATAAACATATAGAACAATTTACCAAGACTAACAATAAAAAGGACATGACAGACTACTTACAGAAAAAGAACAAATCAGTACTAAATAAAAATATAACGTGGAGAAGTTAATGCAGTGCATTATTCCATGAAAATGCATTAAAAAGGCATCATTTTTATTCCTTATTGAAAATATTTCTACCCAATGTCACACAGAATAATCCTTTGAAGTGTCTTTCTTTCCCTTTTTTTAAATTAGAAAAGGTTGATTGATAAGTCATATTACCTTAAAAGTTACATTTATTACCGAATATTTTGAATTTTCTGAAAACTACTGAAGCTTGATAATAGGAATATAGAGTTTTGAAATAAATGTTAAGTCTTTACGTTCTACAACTGCATAGTCCAATATGAATATTTTTACTTCCATTTTAATTACACACTAATATGCAAATGTGGTACATTTTCAG